AGGCGCTTCAGACCACATGACAGGAGATAAATCTCTTCTTACTGATTTTGTGCCTAACAATGGAAATCACTCAGTTAAGATTGCAAATGGCTCCACTTCAAGAGTTGCAGGGTTGGTTCGGTCACAGTTTCTAAGACTCTGTCCCTTCAATCTGTCTTACTTGTACCAAATCTTGATTATAATTTATTGTTAATTAGTAAACTGACTCGAGATAAGAAGTGTGTTGCTAAATTCTTCCAAAAATTGTGTGAATTTCAGGACTTGGATTCGGGAAAGATGATTGGCAGTGCTGAGGAGTGCTCAGGACTCTATCTCCTCAAAGGCAATCACTTTGTGGAAAAACAAGCTCACGAAGCAGTCTTGTCAAGTCAGTCTCACAATAGTCATGTTTCTATTTCTTCTAATAAGGATAGTGAAATTATGTTATGGCACTATCGTCTAGGACATCCTAATTTCTTTTATCTTGAAAAATTGTTCCATTCATTATTCAGAAATAAAAGATCTAAGAATTTTCAATGTGAAGTGTGCCATCTTTCAAAGCATGTTCGTAATTCATATCCTAGCCGATCATATAACATGTCACATCCTTTCTCTATGATTCATAGTGATGTCTGGGGACCATCCAATATTAAAAATATCACCGGGTTACGTTGGTTTGTATCTTTTATTGACGATCACACAAGAATTACCTAGATATTTCTCATGAAAGAAAAATCAGAAGTAGAGCAAATCTTCAAAAATTTCAACACCATGATCCAAACACAATTCCAAACAAAAATCCAAGTCTTCAGGACAGATAATGCAAAAGAATATTTCAAAACTGTTCTAGGAGATTATCTGAACAGTCAGGGTATTATTCATCAGAGTTCTTGTGTCGACACTCATGAACAAAATGGGATAGCGGAGAGAAAAAATAGGCATCTCCTTGAGGTTGCTAGGTCCTTAATGTTCACTTCTCATGTTCCAAAACACTTCTGGGGAGAAGCTGTCCTTACGGCAGCTTATCTTATCAACAGAATGCCATCCCGTGTGCTAAAATTTCAAACTCCGAGTCAAGTCCTTCTCAAAGCTTGTCCAGAAAGTCATCTCATTTCCAACATTCCACCCAAACTGTTTGGATGCTCAGCCTTTGTTCATGTTTATCCGCATAACCGAAGCAAACTCGATCCCAGAGCAATCAAATGCATTTTTCTTGGGTACTCACCAAATCAAAAAGGGTATAAATGTTACTCACCCATCACAAGGAAATTCTATAACTCGATGGATGTTACATTCCTTGAGGAACAGCCCTACTACCCAAAAACTAATGTTCAGGGAGAGAGTGTGTCAAAAGAACATCATTCTTGGGACATCCCCATTGAAACCCAACCTCATCATGACCTACGTGTTTCTCATCATGACCTTCATACTCTTGATCCCAATTCAAACACTCAGTCGCTCGAATCTCTTGTTGAAGCCCATTCACAGAATCCACCTCAAGAGTTACCCTCCAAATCTCCATCACACCATTCTCCTACTAAACATAGTGAGCTTCGTGTTTATTCCAGAGAGAAATGGCATTGAAAGGAGATAGAACAACCAGCATTCCCTCAGCAAATCCAAGAGTCGGAACCAACTCCAAGTCTTTCAGAAGCAACACCAGGTAACTCCCAACCTGTCTCATCTACTCTTGAGCTTTATGATGATCGGCCCATTGCCGTAAGAAAAGGAGTTAGATCCTGCACAAGTCATCCTGTTTATAACTTCCTGTCTTACAAAAGATTATCTCCAGAATATCGTGCTTTTGTCTCCAATCTTGACAAGATACAGGTCCCTAACAATATTCATGAAGCCATTGAGATACCACATTGGAAGGCAGCCACTATGGAAGAAGTTCGGGCCTTAGAAAAGAACAATACATGGGAGATAGTTGACTTGCCACAAGGAAAACGACCCGTGGGCTGCAAATGGATATTCACGATAAAACACAAGTCAGATGGGAGTGTAGAACGATTCAAAGCTCGACTAGTTGCAAAGGGATTCACGCAATCTTATGGTATTGATTACCAGGAAACATTTGCCCCAGTTGCTAAACTCAATACTGTAAGAGTTCTCCTATCCCTTGCAGCTAATCTAGAATGGCCACTATTCCAACTTGATGTCAAGAATGCCTTCCTCAACGGCGATCTCGAAGAAGAAGTATACATGGAGATTCCTCCTGGTCTCGGAACACAAGCAACAAATAATAAAGTCTGCAAACTCAAGAAGTCATTGTATGGACTAAAGCAGTCACCTCGAGCTTGGTTCGGCCGATTTTCTAAAGCTGTAAAGAAGTTTGGATACGCACAGTGTCAAGCAGATCATACTCTTTTTATCAAGCGATCAGAAAGGGGGGAGTCATCCATTCTCATTGTCTACGTAGATGACATTGTCCTTACAGGGGATTTCTTAGAAGAAATGAAAAAGACTGAGAACGTCCTTTGCAAAGGAGTTTGAGATCAAAGACCTATGAACTCTCAAATACTTCCTAGGAATGGAAGTGGCTCCAAA